GCAGGCAATGCGGTTCGGAAGGATCAGATGGAGGGAAAAGCTGCCATTGCCAACAAGACCACCAGCTGTGTGTTCAAACTTTTACAGGATGCTGGTGAGATTTCCTTTCTGTTGACTTGATTAAATGAAAACTAATTATAGAAAACATTTGGCAGCCTGGTTAATGTATTAAGCTTATCACAACATAATATAACATTAACAATATTCATAGTTGAAGATCTTCATGAGGTAGTAGCCCCAATTTCAAAGCTGCCAGAGGTCACTTGAAGTAATTTACTTTTAAAATAGTTCCCACAACCTCAGCAATTTTAGTGAATTAAAGTTGGTGCGTGCCATGTGCAGCTTTTGATGAAGGTTTTAACTGTGGGGAAATGACTGCCTTGTGACAGCCATGCTTGCTTTAATTATTCTCCAGTACAATATGCATGCTGTGTTTAGGTTATAAGACCGCTGTCCCAATTTCACAGTGTGAAAGCATGTGTCCTTTGTCAGTCATGCGTCTTCTCTGTAGAATCTGTGTCAGTATAGCACTGCACTCTGCTTGAAAATGCTGTTAATGTACTAGACCAATCAGTTTGTCTTTTCTAAAAGGATGCACACAGTAATGCGAATCATAAATCACTTTCTCTCAGGGCTTAAGACGGCATTTGTCAGGCAGCATTCTGAGACTGCATTTGTGGCGTCCAGATGTGAGATGATACCCATTGAGTGGGTCTGCAGGCGCATAGCCACAGGCTCCTTCCTCAAACGCAACCCTGGGGTCAAAGAGGGCTACCGCTTCACTCCTCTGAAAATGGAAATGTTCTTTAAGGTGAGGTTCTGTTAATCAGAAATACAGTTGAGAAGGCTTTTAATCGATCACATTTAATGTCAAGCATTTAAGTTTTTCCACATTGATCACTTCCATTATTCTTCATTCAGGATGACGCCAATAATGACCCTCAGTGGTCAGAAGAGCAGTTGTTGGCGACTGGGTTTGAGCTGGCAGGTCTGACTATTGGTCGTTGTGAGGTAGACATCATGAGCAAAACCACAGTGGCCATTTTTGAAGTCCTGGAGAAGGCTTGGGCCACACAGGACTGCACGCTGGTGGATATGAAAGTAAGAAATCTATCGTAGAGAAGTCTAACGACTCTAGAGGAACGATATTGTTGGAATTACTCAGAATTATTTGTTTTCCATCTGATTAAAGAAAGGCCAATAAGAATCCATCCTACTTTAAATAGCTTAAGTGTTTAAGCCAGCAGACACCATAAATCAAGTGTAGTTAGTTCTGGTAGGTCACGTTAGTCAAGCTCACAGCAGCTGACTCTCAGCTGATCCACTTCTAGTACCTATAGGAATATTATGCTATCACTGTATTCATATACAAGCTCCTTCAGTATTATCAGCAGCAATCACAATCTATTGACCCTCCTCCATCCCCAGCTCCTCCTCTCATTAGTCAGTATGGCCTTCTTATTCCATTTGAATCAGAATAAATCGAATTATGTTGTACGAAAAATCTTGAATTAATTATATCTGCAATAGATTAATTGCTGCTCTTATGCTTGGTAGGCTGCATAAATGCTCTGGGGGTACTTGCCCAGATTAACCATACCGCCAATCCAAACTATATGCTAATTGTCAATCGTATTTGACAAAAGTGATCCTGATAGAACTGCAATGCATGCTTGTAACAAACAGAACATTATCATCCGATGGTGTGGATGCTGATATAACTATTGTTATAGCTATCTTTATAGTATTGTCCTTGGTTTGTTTGAACAGGCTCCTTATTTTTGTGTTATTGTGGTAAATGCTACTTGCAGTAGAGGTTTAATGCCAATAATCTGTCATTTTAGATAGAGTTCGGTGTAAATGTGACCACTAAAGAGATTGTGCTGGCTGATGTGATTGACAACGACTCATGGAGGCTCTGGCCAGCTGGGGATCGCAGCCAGCAGAAAGACAAACAGGTAAATATCCAAATATCATTATGCGTTTAAAAACTGTCCCTCAGGCATGAAATTCATTTATGCTGCTACTTTACCAGAGTATTATATTAGAGTAAAACTAGAAGCCACTACGAGTTTAGTATTAGTTTAGTTAGTATCCAGTGAAGCAAATGTCCTTCTGCTATGATGATCATGACCTTTCCTGAAAGAACTAACTAACCTGTGGCAAGACCTAAACACTGTTCTCTGTGTAGGTTTACCGTGACCTGAAAGAAGTGACTCCTGAGGCCATGCAGATGGTGAAGAGGAACTTTGAGTGGGTCGCAGAGCGAGTCAAGGTACCATTATTTACAAAAAAATTATGTTATTGATGTGATGTAATCTTTAAATCAAAATATGACTGGATCTAGAGTTAAAATGCCATAATTCTGGTGACATGCTGGATTTCTCCAATCATATAGTCCATTTAGTCCTTCCCCACCCCCTCAAGCTTGCGTTCATCGGCCTCCATTTTTAAGTGCAATGCCCACATCTGAAAATCCAATCAACAACCAATGCTTTGTTTCACCCTAATCGTTTTCTTTTAATCATTTGTTACACTCAATCAATTAAACTCAATTTCTTTTACTGAATCAAGAAGCTGAATGCTAACATTGAGCTCTGTGACCTCTATTTAGTTAGTTTCCGTAGTTCAGGCTTTCATCCCTCTTAACTTCACTCTTCCTCCAATAAATGTCTTTCACAGCATCTTAATGACTGTTTGGAGTATTCTAACTGAACATTAATGACTAATGGGAATCTGATTGTGTGTACATAGCTGCTCCTGGAGTCAGAGGCGAGAGGAAGAGTAGTAGTTCTGATGGGCTCTACCTCAGATGTGGCTCACTGTGAGAAGATCCGTAAGGCTTGTGGTTCTTATGGCATTCCCTGCCACCTTAGAGTCACCTCTGCCCATAAAGGCCCTGATGAGACACTTCGCATCAAAGCTGAATATGAGGGTATGGCCGAACACAACATTGTCGTCTGATCTATTAAGAACAAAACGAGCATGCCCTTTCTGCAGACTTTTTTATTGCCAAAATGACGTAAAATGTACATTTAAAACTATTTGAAATGGTTTTTAATAGCTGTTTAATGCATAACAATATTTGAATCCAAAACACTTTAGTAACAGTGAGGTTTTAATTGATCAATGTTTTTCTCCTTAGGTGATGGAGTTCCCACCATCTTTGTAGCAGTGGCAGGCAGAAGTAATGGCTTGGGTCCCGTGATGTCAGGAAACACTGCGTATCCAGTTATTAACTGTCCTCCAATTACCCCTGACTGGGGTGCTCAGGATATCTGGTCATCTCTTCGCATGCCTAGCGGTACCAATTAATTATTGTTTGTGTCACTTTATGCGTGATATGATTATCTGTGTCTTAATTGATGAGTGGACACTACTACAGTCATGCATTGGCTCTTTTTTTTTTTTTTTTAGTGTGTCTCATACTAAGAAACAAGGTTTCTTTTATTAGAAAAACAGCAATATTGTAAAACCCTCAAACAATTTAAAATAATTTTTCTAATTTAATATCTTTTTTAAAGTGTAATTTACTCCTGTGATGGCAAAGCTGAATTTTCAGCATCATTACTCCAGTCTTCAGTGTTGCATAATCCTTCAGAAATCATTCGCTGATGATTTGCTGCTCAAGAAGCATTTCTTATCAATGTTGAAAACATAATTTTGTGGAAACCATGATATTTTTAAGGATTATTTGATAACAAAGTTCAAAAGAACAGCATTTATTTGAAAATAAATATTTTATTACATTATAAATGGTGTTTTTAACGCAACTAAAAGTATTTGTTTCTTAATTTTACGGACCTTAAGCTTTTTAATGGTAGTTGAACAACTGTGCAGCTGAGTTGTTATGCAATGCTAAACATTTTTCTCATTCTCACTCTTTCAGGTCTGGGCTGCTCCACTGTTCTTTCTCCTGAGGCTGCTGCTCAGTTTGCAGCTCAGATCCTTGGTCTAAATAACCATTTGATCTGGGCCAGACTTCGGGCATCCATGCTGAACACCTGGGTCTCCCTGAAACAAGCTGACAAGAAGCTGCAAGAGTGCAGCCTGTAATCGATTAGCATTTTCATTCCCTCCAAACACTGTTCATTTTGCTTACATTTGTGTGTACACACCAGCTATTGCCTATAAACAAGCCTATGTGAAATGCTGACCTAGAGCTTATTTGCAATAATACCATTTCAGGTTACATTACATCAATAAACATTCCTACATTTACATTTGTCTTGGTGACTTTTTTTTTTTCTCAGCAAAAAATAAAAATGTGTGTGTATATAATGATTATACCTCAATTTTATAAACTAAATATTGAAATTTCACTGTAAGTGTCTGTTCTTCAAAACAAAAGTTTAACTTTCTCCAATCCTAAAACGTGTTTCAAAACGTGTTTTTTTTTTTTTTTACAATTCAAAGGGGGAAATCACTTTCATAAATGTCATAAATGTGGCAGTGGTTTTCACTGCCCATTCTGTGTCCCCATATATTATTTAAAACCCAAAAAGTTTTCCAAAAATTAAAAAACATCTTAGGGAGACTTCAACAGAGCAGTGCAACCTGAATGTAATATTTGTAAATATCTTTCTATTTTTTTTTATTATTTTTTTTTTGCTTTTTGACAGATCATAAGACGTGTGTGCAATCGTAGGCTGTTCCAGGGTACACCACATCGATGCGGTTACCCCTGCTGAACCCAGTGACATTATCATTTTATGATTATCCAAAGTGACTTCTAAATAAGGTTTTTATTCAGAAGATTAATTGCAACTGAAGATTAAAAGTAAAATCACTAACACCGTTCTTTATTCCTTTTTTGTTTACAGCAAGATGATTTTGAGGTGAGTTAAATAAAGCACAGAATTGTTTATTATTGGTGTTATGTCTATTCTTATTTGAGTTTTGCTTCGCATTCTATATCGCATTCTATATCGCGTTCACAAAGAATTATTCCACACATCAAAAATGATTATTTATTTACTTTACTATATAATTTATATATATATATATATATATATAATTATATTTTAAGTTTATTCATTCCAGTAGGCCACATGGTGATTTATTTTTTTCCATCCCCAAATTTAAGCCCTCTTAAAATGATAATCAAAACCTTTGTTATACCAACTTTTTTTAAGATATTTAATGCTTTTCACAACCCTAAATTTGTTATGAATTTAGGACTATTTAAGGACCTGCAGGGACCCTCTGAGAAAATCTGACATTTGATGTGCACAGACAGAACCTTGAATTAATTTGAAATGTTGTGCTTTTTTAGCGTGGCACTGCACATAAGTCATAAGGTTGGGGACAGTGAGTGGCCCCCAGTTTAAAATCCAAACTGGGCTCCACACCCGCTGGTGAAGAGAAAGTGAAGCGCTGCAGCAGAGAAGAGAAAAATAGGAACAGCTCCATCCGTGCCAGTTGCTCTCCAAGACAAACTCTCTTTCCTGAAAATCAGAGAAAATAAAGGGTAATCATAAAGGGTGTTTTTTTTTTATGGGGGCATCATTTATGGGGTTCAGCATTGTCAAAGTATATATTTTTGAATTTCTTTAGAGGAAACAAAGTTTCCCTATACCTAGAGAAAAAGGTAAAAAGGCATCTCTCCTTCTGAAATTGCCCTCAGCATCCAGGAAGTGACCTGGATTAAAAGAGTGAGGCGTCTCCCACTCGGACTCATCAAACAGCACTGATGTCAAATTGCCTATCACCATTGTGCCCTACAGAACCACAAGAGGCTTAACAAGAGTAAAATTATACACACTACCGGTATACTGTGCTTTAACTAATATGCTCTGCTTAAAGCAGTAGTTGACTTTTAAAGAAACTTTAGCTGACAATTTACTCACCCCCATGTCATCCAAGATGTCCATGTCTTTCTTTCTTAAGTCGAACAGAATTTAAGGTTTTTGATGAAAACATTCCAGGATTTTTCTCCATATAATGGACTTCATTGGGTGCCAAACGGTTCAAGGTCCAAATGACCGTTTCATTGCAGCGTCAAAGGGCTTTAAACGACATCAGGTGATGAAAAAGGGTCTTATCTGGCGAAAATATTGGTCATTTAAAAAATAAATAACAATGTTTAAGTTTTAGAAGCACAAATGCTCGTCTTGCTCTGTTCTGTGTGACTCCCCCGTTCGGACTTGTTAATCAAGATGAACGAATCTTTTTCGAGTCATTTCTTTCATTTTGTTCGTTGAATGATCCAAATGATTCGAAAAAAGATTCGTTCATTTAGATGAACGAGTTCGAACAGGAGAGTCACGAACGCGCATCACAGAACAGAGCAGAGTGAGCATTTGTGCTTCTAAAACTTAAACTTTGTTATTTATTTTTGAAATGACCGATCGTTTCGCTAGATAAAACCCTGATTCACTGTCTGGTGTTGTTTAAAGCCCTTTGAAGCTGCAATGAAACTGTCATTTGGACCTTGATCCATTTGGTTCCCATTGAAGTCCATTATATGGAGAAAAATCCTGGAATGTTTTCATCAAAAACCTTAATTTCTTTTTGACTGAAGAAAAAAAGACATGGACATCTTGGATGACATGAGGGAGAGTAAATTATCAGCAAAAGTTTTTTTTTTTAAAGTGAACTACTCCTTTAAGATTTTAAACATCACTAGGCCCACCTTTGGGATAGAGTATTTTCCTATCTGACTATCTTCCACTGTAGCTCGGGCCAAATTTAATGGAAGAATATTTCCAATCCTCTGCATTTCATGAATGACAGCATTAGTGTAGGGCATGTTGTCCTTATCTGATAAAGTTGGCTGTCGTGACCCTCCCACAACATGATCAATCTCCTCCTGAACTTTGGCTAAAGAAACCAAAATTAGAGATACTGTGAGTATGTATTAATTTGTATGTGCATTTGAATGCCTTTTCTCACAGTAAGCTCTCACCCTGTATCTCAGGATATTTCATCATGTAAAGGAGACCCCAGTACAGAGTGGTAGAGGTGGTCTCAGTTCCCGCCACAAACAGATCCAGAGTACAGATACACAAGTTCTCCACATCAAACCCAGTGGCTGTGTCGTCTTTAAGCTACAGAACACAAATGAGAGGCATTTCAATTCAATAACCATACGTTTTTATTACCAGAGCTTTCCTGTACCAGCTCACTTCACTACCACCTCAGAAAGGGTCTTACTTTTTCCATCTCAGCAAGGAAGCTGTCAATGTAGTCCCGTGGATATGATGGATCATGATCCGCTCTGTGTGCATTCACCTTCTCTTTAACAAAGTCAATCACTTTTTTCCACAGAGCAAAAATGTTCTTGTGCGGTCCAGGCAGTCGCCGCATGAGCCACGGGAACATGTTATAAAACTGAAGAAATCAAAACATAAAGTAGATGAGAAGTGAACGAAAGCACAGTTAACTTGTTAAAATTAGAAAATGTTTACTTGACCCCAGATGCTTCCTTCCAGATAAATGGCTTCATTAATGTTCTTCAACAGAGACTGGAAGTCATGGTCACTGTACTCAAATCGATTCCCAAACACAAGCACACAGATCACATTTGAGACAGCGTTGTTCAGCAGTAAGCGAGGGTCAAACGGTCGACCTGAAACAGATCTTTAGGTAAATCACACTGCTTAAAATTTCATATGCAATTGTCAATTATTTTTAGTCAACAAACCTCAGTAAATACCTTGTTCATTTGAAATGGTTTCATTCAGAAAGCAACACTCAAGACTGATGGATGGCTCTAAACTTTTCTTTCCCAATCCAAAGTTTCGAAGAGTCGAGAGTGCGAATCTCCTCTGATGCTTCCATTTATACCCATTGCTAACAATTAAACCTGCTTGCAAAAAAAAAGCGATTACTGACAATTTATGGTGAAATGCTAAACCACCAATTTAACATTAAGATATTAAACTGACCTTTGTCTCCAACGATGTCAATAAATAAAGGTAACATGGGACGATTAGAAAGGTTATCACCCTGTTGTATATAGACCTCCTTTACAAGTTCATATCCATTCAACACAACAATCCTTTGTCCAAAAATGTTAAGGCTGAAAATCTTGCCGTATTTTTCTGCAAACTGTAAAATATGATTTCAAAATCAACATATGTATCTTAGAAAAAATGGTACGTTTCAGTAGTTTTTAATGTCCCCTTCATTTATTTTGGTCTATTTATACAGACTTAAAATAAATTATTTATTTTTTACATGTAAAATGTCATTTGAAAACGTATCAACATATCTTAGTCATAGGTTTCAATAGTTTGTAATTCTTCGTTCATTTTAGCCTACGTATTTAATCTGACTACAATGTCATTTTTGTCATGAAAATAACATAAGAAAACATGTGAAAAGCTTTAATAGACCAACCTTAAGCTACATTTTCAGACATTCAGACATGTTTATTCGTTTTGGCTAGCTGGTTTAACTAGTTTTAGCTGGACTGTTCAGCATTCCCAGTCTGACCAGCTGGAAATATAAAGTTGTCAGAACTTGAGCTCCTGAAATAATAAGTATTATATACTATTTATAAATACTTTATTCATTCATACTATTATACCTTTCTCATGAATCACTGAATCATTTGACGACACTTCCAAGATGTCGGCAACTCCTGCTTCCAAAGAGCATAAATGTAAAAATACACTATTAATAGTAAATTTAAAATGAACTGGATCATACACTGTCTTTGTGAGAATAATTTTTCCCAATCTAATCTTTACCAAATGTGTCGGTCTTAATTTTTTACTTTCCTGTGATTTTAAATGTACCAAACTCCCAATAAAATTAATTAAGCTTTGGATGCATGGACTATTTGGAATAATCCATATATATTTTTCACAAACAAGACTATTATGCGTTTATTTTATTAGTAGCTAAGTTAGAGAAGGTGTTTCACCATTGTGCTTTTTTTTTTTTTTAAAGAGGAAACAGAAACAATCTTACATTTGTAACTGAAAAACCAAACTATTTTGGTCCTAAGTTTTTTTTGTCTATTTTCTTTTTTTTATAACTTTGTCACAATAACTGATATAATGTTCTTGTTTATGGATTGTTATACCAGTTTTTTGGAAATGGAAGTTTTTTTTTTACGACTCTCTAACTTCAATACAGAACACATTATTAAGCTGTTAAGAGATCTCACCTGTTGAAAAAGATAATGTATTTATGTATTTTTGATAGAAGATGCAGAATTTTGATTTTATTGTTTTATAGATTCAATAGCTTATTTTGTATTACGTTGTATCATTATTGTATTTTCAATATAAAAAATAAATAAATATTGAAACAAACTTTAACATTAGACACTAATTTTAAGTAATAATACCTTCGTTTTTTATTTTCGTCAGTTGTTTTCAAAGCGATTTTATATCGTTTTCATTCTGTTTTTCCATAATTGAAACACACACACAATGCTCCTCTCGTTATGTCCTAGCGACATCATGTGGTCAACATGTGAACGTGACTGATTCTGAGGTCTGAAGTAGAACATTTAGCTACATTTTGATATTCCAACGTCCAAACTCACCTGGAACGCAGAATGAGCAGTTAAGATCATGTGACTATCGAAATATCGATTTACACAACAAGAATTTTATTTACCTCTGGAAACTGAAGATGAAGCTTACTAATATCTATATGATGAAGGTCTCCTATGATCGGTAAAGACCATGGTCCAGAAGGAAAGTTCTTCGGCGCTTTATTTCTGGTATAATCACTCAGCAATAAAAACACACACGAAAATATCAAAATACTTTTGATATCGATCCACTCGTAAAGCTGCAACATATCCATGACGACTGACACTTGTGTGCAAAATCAAAAACAAATCTTTAACCAGACTGTAGAAGAAGCAGACTGTAAACAAGGTCGGAAGCAAAATAATGTGGGTGGGTCTTTGCCACATTCTATGGTCTTTGGACTTCTCCCTATTGGTGGGAATTTTGATTCTTTCGTTTCTTTTGATTCGTTCAATTTCAATTCGTTTAATTCTTTTTATTCGTTCATTATTAGTTTGTTCACTAAAATGATTCAGATTTGTTCATTGGCAATTTCTTCATATAAAATGAATAGGCCAGCAGGTGGCGAATAAGATTGTCTTTTGTGCCATGTCTTAATCAAGGAACGTATACTTACAAAAAAAAAAGGATTTGGCTTTGTTAAAATGTGTGCCTTATTTACTCATTAAATTAATAAAATAAGTCTAAATAAGTGCTTTGGATGACCAAAGTACAGGGCCTTGCATAATTAACATTTATATGGTTTGGTTATTTAATCTATATTGAACTTGCGAAATCAACAATAATAATTTGATTTAAAAAAAAAAATATTTACACAGCCACGCACTTTTTTTGCCTGTAATGACTGACACTAACGTGAACAAATAGCATTCTAGCGCGAGCTGCAAGTGTTCGATCTTCTAAAACACGCCCTTTTCACTAAACGTTTAACGTTAGGTGTTTGAGACTGCACGCGGAGAGTCATGAAGTCATGCCTATAAAGACAAAATAATAATAATAAAAAACGATAATAGAAAATCTGATGAGGTACATAAAGTACAAGTCAAGAAAATATATGCTAATCTGATCCCGTGTTGTTCAGATTCTCTTGGCAAATCTGTTCAGAGGAATTATAGTTCATAGTTGCCCAGCTTTCTGGAATCTGGTGGGACTTTTGTAATCTCTCTCCACTCTAATGAGGGCCGTCCCAAGCATCGACAGGGGTGTGAAATGTCCGTCTGGGAGTGGCCTGGTGCAGTCCCAAAGACCACCACCAGTTAAACGACGACCCTGTTTCTAGACCTCTATGTTCTAGACTTCCAGACTGCTACTGACAACAACTCCAGTGATTTGATCTTTTCTGACAAAGGGAACGTGCCATTTTTTAACATCATGATCCTGCACATTCTATATCAGTGTTTTGATTTTAAAAGCTGGATCATTTTAAGTTTTGTTTTACTGCTTCTTGCAGATATTATCAAATATAGGAATCCTTCCAGGTTCCCTCCAGGACCCTGGCCTTTACCATTCCTGGGAAATGTCTTCACTGAGCTAGATTTTAAGAACATGGATAAGGTAGGAGCAAATTATTTAAAATGAAATGCATAAATGTTTGCATACCTGTTGTTTAACATTCATAAGACAAGATTTATTTTATATTGCCCTATTTCTTGATTAAAAGAATGGTGGATGTTAGCAAGTTGACTGTAGTACTATATACTAGCTACTGTATATTAATATTTGATAATAATTGTTATTATTATGATACTTTCATTTTTTTTAAATTTCAGTTGGCCGATGTCTACGGGAAGGTGTTCAGCCTAAGAGTGGGCAGTGATAAAATGATAATCGTGTCTGGATATAAAATGGTAAAGGAGGCCCTCATTACTCAGATTGACAGTTTCGTTGACCGTCCAAATGTCCCACTGTTTCATAAAATTTTTAAGGGACTTGGTAAGTACACCAGTCATGACGTTTTTGCTTAAAAAGGCAACACTGTAAACTAGCTGATATTCATAACATTATTTGCTGATAAACAATGCCTACTGTATGTAGTAATTGAAATTCTTTCATTCATTCATATTATGAAGGTACAATACTGAGTAATGGATACCAGTGGCGAATGCATAGGAAGTTTGCCGTCTCCCATTTGCGGGCCTTTGGAGTGGGAAAGGAAAGTCTTGAGCTCAGGATCCAACAAGAGTGTGTCTACCTTTGTGATGCGTTTAGGACAGAAAAGGGTATCATCTGAACTCTAAATGAATTTGGAAGAACTTGACAAATAATGACATAACCTTATGCATATACATAACTGTGTTTTCTCTCAAATAGCTCCTTTCAACCCCATGGTCACCTTAAACAGTGCTGTTTCAAATATCATCTCGTGCTTGATATTTGGACAACGTTTTGATTATCATGATGAATGTTATCAAAGAATTCTGCGTCTTGACACCGAATGCATTCAGTTAGCAGGCTCTCCTAGAGCACAGGTACTGATTCACGACAGCATCCACACTTTATTATTCTCACTTCCTTTTAATTAATTATAATGAAAAAATATTTTCATCATCCGACTATTTCATGTCTTACAGCTGTATAATGTGTGTCCTTGGCTCTTGGAATATTTACCCGGCCCCCACCAGACCATTTTTTCCAACTATAAGAAGATCACAGACTACCTGAGAGGAGAGATCATCAAACACAAAGAGGACTGGGACCCTTCAAACCCACGTGACTTTATAGACAACTACCTGACTGAAATGGAAAATGTACAGTAACTAAAATAGGATTTTCTTTTATCATTCTTTTGAAATACTTTGAGTAAAGTTTTGATATTGCCATTTGATCAGCCTGAGACACTTTTTTAAAAAGAGAGTGCCGTGCCTGTGAAGAACTAATGTGTATGCATACTTTCTTGCACATGTTTTGTGTTGATTCCTACTTTTTCCAGAAAAAGAGTGATCCCGAGGCTGGTTTTAACATAGAAGGGTTAGTGGTGTCTTGTCTTGACCTAATTGAAGCCGGGACAGAAACTGCAACTACAACATTGCGCTGGGGTCTGCTTTTTATTATCAAGTTCCCAGAAATACAAGGTGAGTGTACTTTTCTGACTTTCAGAGCGGGAGTAATTAGCTTGAGAATGCATCTGGTCCAGAAGCTTTCCATAAATAAGATTGTCTGAAAACACACAATATACAAGTTATACTTGTATTTCCCATTCAGAAAAGGTCCAGGCAGAGATCGACAGGGAGATTGGACAGTCCCGTCAACCTTGCTTAGCTGACAGAGTCAATATGCCATACACTGATGCTGTCATCCACGAGATTCAAAGATTTGGGAATGTTGTTCCCCTGGGATTCCCTAAACAAGCTGTTAAAGACACAACACTAGGGGGGTACTTCATTCCTAAGGTATTTATTCAATTCTATTCTATTTTGGGGTCTAGTCATCTCTAGAATGGTAAAGATTTCATTCTCTCTTTATTAGGGCACCTCTATGACAGCAAACCTGTCTTCAGTCCTGCATGATCCAAATGAATGGGAAACCCCAGACACCTTTAACCCAGGACACTTCCTGGACGAAAATGGCCAGTTTCGGAAGAGAGATGCCTTCCTACCGTTTTCAGCAGGTACAATTTTGTAAACACACCACCTGATATGACTTCTCAAAAGGTGATATGCTTGTATTTTGTCCTTTTCATTGACTTGGGGTCAATATTAAATCTATTTTGTCCCTGCTACGTTATGAATTTTAACTTAATTTTAAGTTGACGACATTTGCTTACAGGTAAGAGAGCGTGTTTGGGAGAGCAGCTGGCTCGTCAGGAGCTCTTCTTATACTTCACCTCCCTGCTGCAGCAATTCACCATCTCCAAATGTCCAGGAGAGGAACCCAGTTTGGAGGGCGAGATCTGGTTCACATATGCTCCTGCTCCCTTCCGCATTTGTGTGTCCTCACGTTAGAGTGTATATATATATATATATATTTCTTATGTATAATCTTAAAAAAAAAAAAAATCTTTTTTACTATTATATATGTTTAAATGCATGGATGAATAGAAAGCAATGTATCAAATAATACTCTATTTTTCATATTTACATTATGACTTTGGCTCTGGTTCAAATTTCTTCTTTAGTTTTTCTGCTTGGAACAACAGGATAATAACACTGGATTTATGAAATTATCATTCCACACTGTTAATACCCCTATAAGACCCTCCCTCAAAAAAATACAGCTTCCAATAAGAAGAAAAAACAACAACAACAATACAATATTGATATCTTAAACAAAGCATTTTGCATTTGCATTTGGGTGCGCTCAGCTTAAGTGTCTTGAGAGTTAGCCAGAAAATAATCTAAAAAGGGTTGCCACAGTTTTCAACGGTCCTTAAAGAACCAGTCTGTGATGGTCTGTTTTTTTCCAATTTAATGCAAGTGAACGCGTCTTTCAGCCATGTATCAATAGAAGGGGGTGCGGCATGTTTCCACTTCAAAAGTATGAGATGAAGAGAGCTAGAGCCTTTTTAACCGTTACTGAAAAGTTAGCGTCAACAGTCATCATCAGAAGTGGATTTGTCAGGTTTGGTTTTTGAGTGTTTTTCCCACCCTGATTATTTTCCAAACACAGCCTAAATATGCTATAATTTGAACAAGAAACAACTAAGCATGTTTATAAGTATCTTTTATGGTAGAATATCTACTCAGTTGCATGATAATTATATAAATGCTACATACTCAAGAAAAAGACTTTCTGCAGTGTAGAATTTTAACAGAAGATATTGAATTAAAAATTTTAGTGTACCCCTAAAAAAAAGGCACATCTATCTACCAACATGTAATAGATATTACAAATGTAATATCATACCAATATATTCACAATGTTTTAATGCAGATTGCTATTTGTTCTGATGTATAAATGTATGCAATAATCAACATATCTATTAATAATAAAGTATAGCCACCTGTGTAAATGATTTAGTGTTATTTATATATCACATGTTTATATCGCAACTAACAATTACTCATTTGAAAACCATTGTCACAAATATCTCTGCAGAACAGATAGACAGCAGACAGGCTCATTAGTATGAACTGTGACCAGTTTCAGGTTAATAATTGTTCAGATTCTGCAATGAACTTGTGAGGATTGTACAAGCTGGGAAAATATAAAGAATAGGCAAATTATATTACTATGCATGTGCAATTACAGAAAAAAACATTTGCATAAGCTATATATATATATATATATATAATATATATATCCTCATGTTAATATCTTTACATTTTGTAACTTTTGCTCTTGATAAATTTGAGTTCATAGGGTAATTGTCGTAGATGTTGCGTAATATCCCTCCTCCTCTGTTTACTTTTTCCAGTCCTGTACATAAGTATCCAGATCACAGATTTCAAACAAGACAGATCACAGATTTCAAACAAGACAAACGGAACCTGCCATTTCTCCTACCACCATGTTCTTACACTTCTTATTTGACATCTTTGGTTTTAAAAGCTGGATCATTTTATTTTTTGTATTTCTGCTCATTGCTGATATTATCAAAAATAAGAATCCTTCCAATTACCCCCCAGGACCCTGGCCTTTGCCATTCCTGGGAACTGTCTTCACTAAGATGGATTTTAAGAACATGCACAAGGTGGGAGCTAAATTCATGTTTTCAATTTGCTTGTCTGTCAATTTACATTTGTTTTTAGCGTTGATTTAATTTATTTTCTTGTTTCCGTTCTTAAAAATGTTAAGACTACATTAATGTTCCTTGGGCCATATTCACAAAAATCTTAAAGGGATAGTTCACTTGAAATTAATTTTTTTATATGTTTTAGCTTACCTCAAGGGCATCCAAGGTGTAGGTGTCTTTGTTTCCACAGTATTTTCAATTTTGATATTTTTAGGTCAAACCGTTCTTGTCTGTCAGTCATATAATAATGCAGGTATATGGGGTCCACCTCAAAGAGCATGCACAGAGAAGTCCAAACATGATTAAACATGATTTAATGATTAGTAAATGTAAGTACACATTGATGGCTTGTGTGAGAAAACGAACAGTACTTACATCCAACTGATCTGAGGGCACGGGCGCTTCGGTCTGCGCAAGCGCTCGAAAGCGCCGGAAGTGATCTAAATGTGGTTGTGAAAAAAATTCATCGTTGTCTGTTGATATATCGAAATCGTCTTCCATTGCGATTTCCTGTATATCTAAATATGTTTAGATCTTCACAGTGAAAGGTAAAATTTCCGCGATCTCTGTGTAAACAATGAGTGACGTACACGCGCGAGAGACCACTTCCGGTGCTTTCCGGCGCTTGCGCAGACAGAAGCGCCCTCGCCCTTAGAGTACATGGACGTGACTGTGATTACAAGAGGTAAAAATTATATAAATACTGTTCGTTTTCTCACACAAACCGCTTGTTTCGTGTCTTAGGCCATCAATGTATACTTACATTTACGAGTCATTAAATGTTTAATTTGGACTTCTCTGTGAGGTGGACCCCATATACCTGCATTATATGACTGACAGACAAAAACGGTTTGACCTAAAAATATCAAAATTGAAAATACCGTGGAAACAAAGACACCTACATCTTGGATGCTCTTGAGGTAAGCTAAAACATATCAAAAATTTATTTCAAAGTAAACTATCACTTTAAGTGTAAAAGTAGCTCCTAACTTGCCTATTTAGGAGAAAGTCTTAAAATGAATGGCCGTGTTGTTCCTTTCATTTTAGGACTCCCAAAATTTTTGCTCTAAGATTATTTCACAAAGCATTTTAATAAGAGATAGTCAAGAGAAATCCGAAATCACTGAAAAAACAAACAAATTACAAACAATCTTAAAATGGCTGTTGCCTCAGCAAGCCGCCCAAAGACACTGTACACTACTGCGGCAATAGGAGAGCCTATAATTCTTTTATTTTATTTTTTGAATTTCAGTTGGCTGATGTCTACGGGAAGGTGTTCAGCCTAAGAGTGGGCAGTGATAAAATGATAATCGTGTCTGGATATAAAATGGTAAAGGAAGCCCTCATTACTCAGTTTGATAGTTTCGTTGACCGTCCAAATGTCCCACTGTTTCATAAAATTTTTAAGGGACTTGGTAAGTATGCTGACTATAATGCTAAAATAAATAGAGTTGGTGGTTTCTTAATGATAATCCAACTTTCATCTTTACATGTCATTATGTAGGTTTAACGATGAGTAATGGATACCCGTGGCGAACGCATAGGAAGTTTGCTGGCATCCAATTGCGGACTTTCGGAGAGGGGAAGAAAGTCCTTGAGCTCAACATCCAGCAAGAGTGTGTCTACCTTTGTGATGCTTTTAAGGCAGAAAAAGGTAGACTAAATGTAATCAACTGGATTACTGGGGCAAAGAAGGATGAAAACAACTTGCCAGTTTGATAAATATTCATGCTTTCTCCCAAACAGGACCTTTCAACCCTATGGCCACTTTAAACAGTGCTGTCTCAAATACAGTTGCCTGTTTGACATTTGGACAACGCTTTGACTATCATGATGAAAGTTACCAAAGAATTCTGCGTCTTGACAATGAATGTGTTCAGATTGCAGGCACTTTTAGAGCACAGGTGATACTGTACTTTACTGAGTACTGATTCATGACAGCATCTTTAGAGACTACTTTAATACTCTTAATAAAAAATCTATTTTCATCACCCACTATTTCATGTCTTACAGCTGTATAATGTGTGTCCTTGGCTCTTGGAATATTTACCCGGCCCCCACCAGACCATGTTTTCCAACTATAAGAAGATCACAGACTTCCTGAGAGGAGAGATCATCAAACACAAAGAGGCCTGGGACCCTTCAAACCCACGTGACTTTATAGACAACTACCTGGTCGAGATGGAAAGGGTAACTAAAGTGGGATTTTTTTATTAAAAGTTTGAATAATTCAACACTCTCCCCCCGTTTGAATAATACAATACTCTATCCCCCTCCCCCCATCAAGAAAAAGAGTGATCCTGAGGCTGGTTTTAACATAGAAGCGTTAGTGATATCATGCCTAGACATGATTGAGGCCGGGACAGAGACCTCTGCTACTACATTACGCTGGGGTCTACTTTTTATGATCAAATTTCCAGAAATACAGGGTTAGTGTGGTTTCAGTTTTTAATTAGCCTACTGGTTACTGAATATTGAACATAAATGTCCCCACTTGTCCCAACTTGTATTTCCCTTTCAGAAAAGGTCCAGGCAGATATCGACAGGGAGATTGGACAGTCCCGTCAACCTTGCTTAGCTGACAGAGTCAATATGCCATACACTGATGCTGTCATCCATGAGATTCAAAGATTCGGGGATGTTGTTCCACTGGGATTCCCTAAACAGGTTGCTAAAGACACAACAATAGGGGGATACTTCGTTCCTAAGGTATTTATTCTATTCTATTCTATTCCATTCCAATCTTGGTTGAAATATAGATATTTTAATAGAAAACAGTCTAATGTTGGTATTAAATTCTTAAGACAACCAGTCATTGTTTCTGTACTGGATTCTGCATAAATGCAATAGCTTTCATTCTCTCTTTATTAGGGCACCTCTATGACAACAAACATGTCTTCAGTCCTGCATGATCCCAATGAATGGGAAACCCCAGACACCTTTAACCCAGGACACTTCCTGGATGAAAATGGCCAGTTTCGGAAGAGAGATGCCTTCCTACCGTTTTCAGCAGGTAAAATTTTGTAAACACACCACCTGATATGATTTCTCAAAAAAAAAAAGTGATATGTATTTATTTTTTTAACTTATGGTATTAAAAAGCAAGACAAGCACACACTAATTGAACTTGATGGACCAACATTGAAGTGAATTAAGAGGGCAATATCTTTTATACCTATTCCTATACTCAATATCTCCTATACCTATACCTATTCAATATCTCAATACCTTACAACGCTTCATGTGAGAGAGGACGTTTAGGATGAACTGATTCATTAGGCTGAATGCTCAAGTCTTACAATGGTACATTGAGAGTTGAGCGTTTCAGTGAGCAACTGTCAGACATTAAAACAGTGTTTGCGCCTATCATTATAACTGTATACTCATCAAAGCTTGTTTGTGGAAAAGCTACAGTAACAGTCCTATAAAGTAAATTTGTCCTAGGTTAGTAGCGATGTCATACTTCTAGTTATTTTCTTTCTTCTTCTCAATGCTAGGTACAAAATGAAATGTAATTTTCCCGTATGACCTTTGCTTACAGGTAAGAGAGCGTGTTTGGGAGAGCATCTGGCTCGTAATGTGCTCTTCCTGTTCTTCACCTCCCTGCTGCAGCAATTCACCATCTCCAAATGTCCAGGAGAGGAACCCAGTTTGGAGGGCAAGATCTGGTTCACATATGCTCCTGCTCCCTTCCGCATTTGTGTGTCCTCACGTTAGAACAAAACAAAATCATTAAAATCAGACATAAAGCACGTTTTCTGATATGCTTTTCTGGCTGAACATCAACCGTAACTATAGTTTATGTTACCATAATCTTCAATTTTTTCAAAATGCAATATCATTATAATCTTCATCATTACAAAAGCTATAATTCCTGTAGGGCAAACAGTAGAGCATGGTACAAGCAATGCCATGGTCATGGGTTTAATTCCCAGGGAATGTATGAACTGAAAAAGTGTGAAGCCATCTTTAGAATTTTGTGTTTGAACTTCCGCTTTTGTGGTAGGTCTGTATTTTTCCATGGCATCGCTGTCGAAGTAAATTGTAGAGTTGACGGATGTTATCATCAGCATTGTGATGTTTGAAGTGGATGCATAACAAATCTCGGTAGACAGGAAGATTTTAAAACGATTGGTTCATTCTTAAATCTGAAAGATCATCCCCTTTATGCTGTGGAAATACAAACTGGAAGACAGAACACAACGAGTGCTGCATTGAAAAGGGGCAGGGCTACATTAATCGCTTTAGATAAAGAGAATCTGCCAAATACATACATGTCAACTTGTTTTTTTTTCTATATATAAATGTTCATGTATCCATTTGTGTCGGAATGCACTTCGTACGGGTAAATGATTTACTGAAGTGCTATTTGTCAATAGCACTAATAAATAAATAATAAAATAATAAATTACACCCGAGTTGAACGTTTGTCAAAGAAAAATATATCTCGACATATATTTGAATAGTATTGTTGCACACAAAAAATATTCTTTTAGTTCCTTAACTACAACCCAGTGAAAGAATGTTTCAGTCACATACAGACTCATTACTAAACAACAGCTGAGGTATTACATAACATTGGCGCCCCAGACCCACGAGAGGCCTCTTCCTCTTGAACACTGAAACATTTTGAGTGTACAGACTGCACATAGCAGGGACAAACTCCATTTTAGATTCAGTGTGTGCGCTTGTTTATTTAGGTTGGATAAATGCCCCTTCTCTAGTGTGCAGGAGGTCCATATTCTTTTGTCCCATTTTATGTGTGATAAGTAAAGTTTACATTTAAAAATCTCTTATTTTTTGAAAATAAAGCAGCACATTAGGCCTACTGTACATCTCACAACGTTTCTGCAGAGAATAAGGTTGCAGAAAACAAGGGCGTCTTATTACCTCCCCCAATCCTCTCGACTACTTAATCTTTCAGAAACAAAGGCTCCAGATGCAAGGACTCATGAGCATTCATGTGGTATTACACATATTAGTTGTAGTTTTATGTACATAGACTGTGCTATTATGCATCAAGTACTATTCTGATTATCTACACTTTAACACAGTAACGATTGCACAGATGTTCATATCTGCTGTCAGCATGCATGTGTTTCCATCTCAGTCTGTAGTTCAACGGTATAATTCAGTCATTAATCATGACTAGTTCCTGGTAATGATTCTTTTGGAATACAGTTCATGCAGAGGTTGTATTGGGGGTGTGTTATTGTTGGAAACTATAGTGTAAACTTAGGCATTCAATACATAACATAGTTACATAAGGGCTCCCAAACTGTTTGTATGCCGCCTTGCTGCTGACTGAGACCCACACTCAGTCTTTTTTTTTCCAGATAAAAAGTGCATGTGAACTCTCTCTCTCTCACACACACACACACACACACACCCTTTCACCCAACAGTCAGGCTGAAATAAGTTTACTTCTGAAGAGTTTGCTGTCCATGGACTCAGCCATGGTTTTATACTCGTTATACGAGAGCCTAGATTTAAAAAGCAGCTTGTTTTTGATTTTTTTACTGCTGCTGCTCATAGATATGATCAGAAATAAAAATCCAGCAAATTTTCCACCAGGACCCTGGCCAATACCCATCCTAGGAAATGTCTTCACTGATGTTAACTATAAAACTGTGGACCAGGTGAGGCACTCTTGGATTAAGATACTGAAATAATTGAATAACATTTAGATTTAATAAATGTAATATATGATCAAGTAATACAGATTGCCAAGATATTTGTATTTTCACACGTGCTACGTGTTACTTTTCCAGCTAATTGAGAAGTATGGGAACATCTTCAGCATCAGAAATGGATATGATAAAACAGTGTATGTGTCTGGGTTTAAAATAGTTAAGGAGGTTTTGATCACTCAAGGGGAAAACTTCATCGACCGCCCTATTTCGCCTTTATTTGACACACTTTATAAAGGCAGAGGTAGGTGTATTCATCAGCTACTATATAGTAAGTAATCTAACAATACCAATAAGCAGACCAATGGTTTTTATTTTAAACAAAATGCCAGTTTATAACACATCTACAGTATGGAATCAAAGTACCATAATTGTCATTCTGTTATATAGTTTTTATTGCACGTTAGCAAAGTGTTTAAATACAAACTATTTTTGTTAGAAAACTAGATTGTACACCAGGCCTAAACACAATTTCCCTCCATTGTCTTTGACGCTGACTCCTGGCTGAGAAAGGGATCTCCTTTAACAATGGCTACTCATGGAGGAAACAACAGCAGTTTGCCATGAGTCACCTGAAAAACTTTGGAGAGGGGAGGAAGACTCTGGAAGAACATATTCAACGAGAGTGTTACTTCCTGTGTGAAGCCTTTAAAGAGGAGCAGGGCAAGTGCTCACACTCTTAAATATAAAGGGAATTTATTGGCATCCTGGTTTCACGAAGAACCTTTAACATACATGGATTTTCCCATTGAACAAAATTGATTATTTCGACTATTAAAATACATGGTTCTTAAGGTTCTTTGGGGAATCCTAAATGGTTCTTCTATGGCATCACTATACTGTAAATACCCCTTCTGGAACCTTTGTTTATAATATGTAGAATAACAGTTTTCAGGGCAATTAGAGTTGCTATTTTAATAAAATATTTTCATTTATTAAGAGCAAAAATTAGCTCAGGTAAGATAGTAAATTCAAGCGAAATTTTACAGAAGTTTTCTGTAGTGTCTTATACCAAAGTATTCAATAAATATGTAGCCAATCATCAATGTCTTTACTCTGACACACAGGCCACCCATTTGACCCCCTGGTTAAAATAAACAATGCAGTGGCCAATGTTATCGGTAACCTGGTGTTCGGCCATCGATATGAGTATGATGATGTTGATTTCCAGAAGCGTCTACAAATGAGTGCCGAGTCAGTGTTTCTTACAGGATCTGTGTGGAACCAGGTAGAGTCTGTTGAAAATACAGCTCATCTATAAAAAAATACAACCTTTTTGATACTGTAAGCATTTAAAAGAGCACTTAAACCATATTAAAACACTCATATTTAGGGAAATATTTGGTAACACTTTACAATACGTGTGCACTAATATGCATTAATTCATACTAATGCACAGATAATCATGAGTTAATATATAGCTCATGAAGTACTAAACCATTAATTAATGATTACTGCATCAGCAACTAATAAAGAGTCTGTATGATTAATAGATTAAGTATGAATTGCTATTAATTCAATGTGTCATTGTGTATTAATTCCTTAATAACATATTTTATTAACTAATAGTGTAAATTAATGTGTTAATTACCACAATTAGTCAAAGCTATGCACTTCAACTTCCAGTTGTCTGCTTTAATTAATCATAAGCTAATGATTTGCAAAGGTATCATTATGTTATGACTTTACTTGCTGGGGCACATCATTATCAACTAGTCAATTTGTAATTGTAGTAATTTCCACATGAATTTGCAGTAACAATAAAGTAATTAATCATGTATTAATGCATATTAGTGTACCTGTCATATTATATGGAAGTTGAAATACAAGGCTTTGGCTCATTCTGGTAATTAACATATTAATTAATACTATTAGTTAAAAAAACGAGTTATGATGGAATTAATCCACAATTACATATTTAATTAATAACAATTCATGTATCAACTAATACATTAACCTTACAGACTCTTAATTAGTTCCTAATGTGGTAATCATTAATGAATAGCTTAAATAATCATTAGTTACATATTAATTCAGTATTATCTGTGCATTAGTTAAGCATGAATTAATGCTTATCAGTGCACCCGTATTGTAAAGTGTTACCAAATATTTTGTTAAAATATAGGGGTAATAAACATCAAAGCTTAAAATACAACATCATCATGGATATTACTCAGCATTTTAACAAGATGTCATGTTTTTTTTTTAGCTGTATGATGCCTTCCCAGGTATAATGAAGTGGTTGCCAGGACCTCATCAGACAATAATCTCAAACTATCAGAAGTTATCAAACTTCCTGAAAGAAAAGGTCGAGCAACACAGACCAGACTGGGATAGTGACAATCCTAGAGATTATATTGATACCTACCTGACAGAAACTGAGAAGGTAAAAACATGGCAAGATAAAATAAAGAGTTCTGCAGCAAAAATGATGTACCCATTATGTTCTTGAATCAATTTCATTACTATTCATGTTCTTGTGCTTCACTTGTGCCATAGAGGAAGAATGACAGCGAGGCAGGGTTTAATATTGGCAGTCTGGTGTGGAGCATGGTGGACTTGTTTGAGGGTGGAACTGAAACAACAACCAACACACTCCGATGGGTTTTGCTTTTTCTGATCAAGTACCCTGACATTCAAAGTACAATAACATATTATTCTTAACATGGACAGTAATAATGGACAGAAACAGCCTTGCTACTTAATGTGCATTGTTATTTCTCAACAATGTTCTTAAAATGTTTCCTCAACTAGAGAAGGTCAGAGCAGAGATCCAGCAGGTGATTGGCTCCCGTCCACCTACAATGTCCGATAAGGCAAACATGCCTTACACCAACGCTTTCATTCATGAGGTTCTCAGGAAAGCAAACCTTGTGCCTCTTAATATGGCTAGAAATGCGAGAAAGGACACAACCATTGGTGGCTACTTGATACCAAAGGTAAAAGCAGATTATATTGTGTTATTTTTAATTTTTAAAATTGATATACTATACACTCTAAAAAATGCTGGGTTGTTTTAACCCAACTTTGGGTCAAATATGGACTAACCCAGCCGTTGGGTTAAATTTTTACATTACATTTTTAACCCAACATTTCGGGTTTGTCCATATTTGACCCAAAATTGGGTTAAAACAACCCAGCATTTTTTAGAGTGTATATTTAACCTTTATGTACTGAATTAAGGGTACTGTGGTGATCACTAATCTGACATCAGTGCTGTATGACAAACATGAATGGGAAACACCAGACTCCTTTAAACCTGGACACTTTCTAGACTCGGATGGCCAGTTCTGCAAAAGAGATGCCTTTTTCGCCTTCTCAGCAGGTACAGTTCATCGATTGCTTATTTCTGCTGTATCTTAGTCAACCGCAACAACTGTCTGTAAAAAGTGTAATTCAACCTTGATGCATTAATTCAACGGTGATAAACCTTGACAGGCAAAAGGCGGTGTCCAGGAGAGTACCTCGCACACATGGAGCTGTTCATCTTCCTCACTGTCCTCCTTCAGACCTTCAGTTTCAGCCCTCCTTCTGGTGAGGAGCCCAGTCTGGAGAGCCAGGTGGGCTTCACACAAGCACCTCTACCATTTAAGCTCTGCGCTCACACAAAATGAAGGAGTGGGGATGGAGTGTATGCAGTGTGGCAACTTATCTGCAAGAAATCTCACCATGGTTACATCACGGAAATATCAGTATGGTTACATAAACTAAAGTGGTACAAATTGAATTTGTCATTAAAATGTTATAATGGCTTCATGACAAGCAATGTCAAAACCAACCACCTGACAGTTCAATGTAATGTTAACCAATAAAGCTAGGTGTTTTTTAAGTTTGATCTGTCATGTGTATGACAGTTTGTGTTGTCTTAGTAATGTCAAGTTTTCATGACAAAGACACTGACAGGTTATGATGTATTGGTTTATGTCAAGGTGTCATTATTAAAGGTGTCATGTTAGTCTTATGCACACCCTTTCATGTAAAGTGTTACCAAATATGCTCCGGCCTTAAAAACATACCTCCAGTCTGTCAAGTAAAGAATTGGTTCTGACTGAAAACAGCCACGTTTGGTAATTTACGCATTATTAACTTCCCTCCTACAGCAACTCTTGTAATGTATACATTTTAAATCAATATGAATATGTGCTTCTCATTAGATTTTGATTTAAAATATAAAATAATTAATACTTTTATAGAGCAAGGATGCATTATTTAGCTTACCCTGACTACCTGTAATTGAAAAACTGAGGCGTTGTGTATCTTTGTGATTTTGCTCTACTTTATCTTCTTTTCAAGCCTAGACATGTAATCTTTGCCTGAGTTACCAATAGTGTACTTGATTGATTGATTTGCAAGCAATAAAACATTCATTCAATCTATTGAAAGTGCTGAGTCATTGGGCTTATCAAGTTATAATGACCTCGTACCTCATTCAAATAAGCCTTCAAGGTTTCTGAAAACGAGTAAAGCTATTATAACAACTATGAATTCACCTTTATACATGTTGACTATCTGTAAAATAAAGTGCAATGAACATGAGCTCCTAAATTTACTGTCAAAACCTTCATGTGTTTTACACTGACAACTAAAGTCCCCTCTTTACACAAAAAGAGCAAATATAGCACTGCATGAATGTAGTACCTGCAAGGCATACAGTCCAACAGTCCACCTCATTGGTAGTCTCATTCATGCTGCAAATAATAACTCGATCTGAGGAAGACTTCTCATTAAAATGTATGAACATAAAGCCGACATACATTTGACATTCACGCATTTCTCGCACAACAGGTGTGTTGTAATCCATCAAGATCTTATGTAACTTTGACGCCGCTCTTTGCTCAAAACATTACAGCTATTGAGCCAAATGTCAGGGGAGTGGTAGGCTAAGGGGACAAATGGACAAAGACTGCCTGTTCAGCATATTCTGCTAATGTCACATTTTACTTCTTCGCCTGCCATGGCGTTAACTGCGATTCTCGAGTATCTTGATTTTAAGGGACTATTGCTCTTCGTAGTGGCTTTTCTTTTGGTGGCAGACTACTTGAAGAACAGAAACCCACCGAATTACCCACCAAGCCCGTTCTCTCTTCCACTCCTAGGAAACATCTTCAATGTTGACTCCAAAGAGCCACATACATATCTGACAAAGGTGAGCAGACAATATTGCCCCTTCTGGGTTGATAGCACAAGAAAAAGTGTTTATTATTTTTAGAAAAGCATTACAAATTGATTATTGATACTTTGCATTATGGACTAATGCCTGTATGAAGAGAATATTTGACAGTGGATATCATGTTTACTGATAGTAAATAAGCAATAATTAAGAAAATATAAATGAAGAAAATATAAAAATGAACCCATGCAAACAAGCCTCAGCAACACGCAAAACTCAAATTAACTGTAAATAGAATAAATGGATTTATTAAAAAAAAAAATTATTCTATAATCCTATTACACTGATTAATATGGTTCATGTCTTCTAGCCAATGCTTGCAGTTTGCTGAAAAAAAAAAACTTTTAGGAACCAAATGATTTGCATTAGTTCCAGTCACATGCCTCAAGCTTCTGAAACATTGTTTTGCTTACAGCTAGGCCATGCCTACAACAATATCTTCAGTCTGCGATTAGGGAGAGACAAAGTGGTCTTCATTACTGGTTATAAAATGGCGAAGGAGGCCCTGGTGACTCAAGCAGAAAACTTTGTGGACCGCCCCTACAGTCCAGTGCTAGAACGAGTCTATTCGGGCAATGGTAGGTTCAATAGCTGTGACCTATCACAAGAGTTCAGGAAAAAGCATTGTTGATTGTTATATTGGACAACTCTTGTTGTTGTTTTGTTATCATTCAAGACAGACAGATGGATTATTTTTCAAACCCACCATAAAAAAAGAAAAGAAAAAGTGACATTCCTTAAAATTGTGAAACCCCAAAAGTTACATTATTTGGAACCATTTTAAATCTTCCCCCTAAATTATAGGATTGCCTGCATTCCCATTCAACCCCTTAACCCTGTTACTCAGACTATTAAAATGTTCTTTAATTTATAGGAAATAAAAGCTTTACAATAACTAAAACCCAACATATGGTCCCAAACTAACTAGCTCCTAAATTTGCACCCCTGTAACCCATTCTAGTGTAATTATTTAGTTCAATTTGGTAATTTTGTCTTAATTTTGATGTTATTCAATGTTTATTTATATTATTAAAATACGTACTTTAAACAGTTTCTAAACATGTCCCAAAGCATAGAGTCTCACACAAAATGATTATTATTATTTAATTTATTTCTCATTATTATTTTTATTATTGTTTTTCTGGGAGGGGGGTACATTAAGCTGGGATAAAGTGGTGGGAAAAAAAGAACTAAAATGTCATTGTTAACACTGATGTTCACTGATGTTTTTGACTGATGTTCATGATCAATAAAAAGCAAAATAATAATTAAAAAAAAGAAAAAAAAGAAAAAAGAAAACAACACAGCCAAAACAATATTTAGACCAACCCTCAGGGTTGACAATCAATTATTTTCTGAATTTTACATTTCTACTTTCACTGATCATTTGTTAAAAAAAAAAAAAGGTTTTAGGCCCCATGTTGTCCCCTATGGAATATAATTAAATGTTGATTATTCACGTTCCTACAGCTGGACTCTTCTTCAGTAATGGTGAGATATGGAAGAAGCAACGACGTTTTGCTCTGTCAACGCTGAGGAACTTTGGTTTGGGAAAGAAAACATTGGAGCTGGCCATCTGTGAAGAGAGCCACTTCCTGCTGGATGAGATGGACAGACAGAAAGGTAGAAACCTGATATGCATGCATATGTAAACAAAGGACTAAAGGAACTTGAATTGGAAAAGGAAAGGAAAAGGAATTGGTATACTATGGCGAGTACAAGTTTGCATATCAGCATCTGTTCAAGGTAAATAATGAGTACTCATTTCATTTTTATAATTCTCAGGAGCTGCCTTTGACCCTACAATCCTGTTCAACAATGCTGTTTCCAATATCATCTGCCAAATGGTGTTCGGTCAGAGATTTGATTATACTGACCACCAGTTCAAGAAAATGCTAAAATATATTTCTAAAGGCATTCAATTAGAGGGCTCCATTTGGGGGCAGGTAAATTAATCATTTTTCTTTCTGATGATTGTCCCTTATGTGTAGATGCTTCTTTCTCGCTATTCTGCCTTTTTTCCTAACAATTCCAAATTTTATATCTCACAATTTTGACTTTTGTGAGTTATAAACTCAGAGCTGCAAGTCAGAAATTTGAATTAAAATTTATATTTCTGATTATAATAAACGTTTATTTCTCGCAATCCTGAATTTTTCCTCAGAATTCAAAACCAATAGTTTTTTTTTTATTGAATTTACCTTTTTATATTTAATTTAGCTAATTTACTACTTTCACTAAAGATTACAAAAGGGACAAATTTTAGGATAAAGTGAGCAAGAAGATCCAACAAGATTGCCTTTCATAGATCTTTCATCATCAATCTTTAATTGTGGTACAGACCCATTATACAGCATTTTTTCTTTCTTTCAGCTCTATGAAGCATTTCCAGGCATTATGAAGCACCTTCCAGGGAAGCACAATGACATGTTCAATAACTACAAACTATTAAAAGCCTTCGTAAGAGAGGTTGTTATCAAACACAAGGCCGAACTAGACCCCTCAGAACCTCGGGACTACATCGACAGCTTCCTTATAGAGATGATGGAGGTACAGTACACTATTAAAATGACAGGATGACTACAAACAAGCCTGTTTAACTTAAATGTATTTTTATGAATACAGCAACTTATTTTACTTCTTCCATCACTGTCCAGAAGCCACATGAAACAGCAGACGGTTTTGATGAACAGAACCTCGTTCCATGTGTTCTAGACCTGTTTCTGGCCGGGACTGAAACTACATCCACCACATTATCTTGGGGTATCATATACCTCATCACTTACCCAGAAGTTCAAGGTAAAAAAAAAAAATCCATTCTTTAAATAATCTATTCAGTAATAACTGACATTTGAATGCATGGTGTCATTTGTAGAAAAGGTCCAGGAGGAGATAGACAGAGTGATTGGACGCTCCCGGGAGCCTAGTATAGCCGATAAGGCCAACATGCCCTTCACTGAAGCTGTCATGCATGAAATTATGCGATTTGGAGATGTTATACCAATGAATGGCTTACGAGTGGCTAATAAAGACACAACCCTTGGAGAGTGCTTCATCCCAAAGGTGAGTGATATTTTATTCAGCTGTAACACTAAAGTCATGCATCTCTTCCTTTTGAAAATATTATTATATCAAAATCACACAGTTTAATGTGGGTTTAACAATGTTTCGCTTTAACATGTCAATTCAATTTTATCATTTGTCAAAACACAAGTCCGACTCTCAGATCCATTTGTTTCAAACAGGGTACAGCAATTATGCCCATACTGCACTCTGTTCTCTTTGATGAGAATGAATGGGAGACACCCTACAAGTTCAATCCAGGGCACTTTCTAGACAAAGAGGGCAAGTTTGTGAGGCGGGATGCGTTCATGCCCTTTTCTGCAGGTAAAGTGAGAGAAGAAACCCACAGAAAAGGACTTCACTAGGAATCATTCACAATACTGTTTAAAAGTTTGGGGTCAGAAGGATTTTTTAAAGGACTTTAAAGCAATTATTTTTATTTGCTGACATTATTCAGCACGGATGCATTAAATTGATTAGAAGTGACAGTAAAGACATAATGTTACAAATGGCGCCTTTCCACTGCATAGTACGGCTAGGTACGAGTAACTACAATGGTGCTTTTACACTGCATGGTACAGTACAGGTCGAGGTCGCTTTAACCTCTGTTGAGGTCTCAAGCGTGAGATGTGCCTTGCTTCGCTTGAAATGTAGTCGAGAGTAGGCGGCTGCAGTGAGAGGAGGAGTGAAGAAAGCACAGGCAAGCCGGACAGATCTCTCTTCTCAAAATCTAAAATCGCAGCGATTCACGCTTGTGCACGATGTGGTTAATAAACTGGATGTCATTTAAGTTCTGTTGCTTTTATATGAAAATATAATCTCACAATAATATAATATATTATAATGAACAAGACACCCAAAGTACTTCCATTTTAATTCCATTTTAAATAGGCCTACGTGTTTAGCATCATGTGTTTTTATTAAAAAAGTGTAAATTACATTTTAAAATATATACAAATAGAAAACAGGTATTTTATATTCTAATAATATTTCACAATATTGCTGTTTTACTGTTTTTTTGAACAAATTAATGTAGCCATTAGGAGCATAAGAAACATTTTTTTTTTTTTTTACAAATCTTACAGACTCCAATCTTTTAAACAGTATTAAATGCAAATAAAAGTCAAACCGACAGTCTGTGTATTATGACCTTATTTGAATGAATGCTTAATGCCTCCCCACTCTATCTCTCACAGGAAAGAGGGTCTGTTTGGGAGAGCAGCTTGCTAGACTGGAACTCTTCTTATTCTTTGTCAGTTTGTTCCGAAAATTTCGATTTTCAGCCACAGAGGGTGAGAAACTCAACCTCGATGGAGTGATAGGAATAGCACGCACCCCCCACCCCTACAAGATCCATGCAACGCCACGCTGAACAAATCATATTCACTACTATACGAATAAATAAACATTATTATAAACAATTATATTATACATGTTTCACTTAACATTTTACATCTTTGAGAGAACAAATCTGGATGTTACGGTTCTTTTTACTAACTTGTTTAAATACAAAAGTTCAGCCGTTCATGTTTGTTTAAAGGGTGTGAGAGAAAAGCTTAAGCTCCCATTTATGAAACATGCTTAGTAATACCCAGTCTACAAAAACTACTAGAGTAAAGAGCTGGATGAACATTGTCCTAGTTCCAGGTGAAAAAAAAAGAGAGAAAAGGTCAACATACACATTTACTTGTTGGCACGTAATTCAGATTGTGTGGGGTGAGGGAATGAAGTTCAAATTTATAAACAGATAATGTATTCTCATGTTGTATAAGCTCATGTAACAATATGTTTATATGCTGTGCCATCTCTTAAGACTGAGGAACTATTTCCTTGTATAAGCTCTATTTCAGTCAGATAACTAAAAACTTCTAAAAGCTAGAAGTACTTCAGTGTGTGTTTGTGCAACACAGCATAATACAATATATAATAATTTTAATCTTCAAAATTTCTATTCAAGTTAAATTTTGATCAATTGTCTGTACTTTTAGCACTACAAGTGTCGCATAGTGGGATTGTAAAAATAACTAGAATGTACATTTCCTGAAGAAATTGTGAGTGGGTGGGTGCTTTCAGTGGCAAAACTCACCACTCGGTTATCATGTATTTAGCAAGATGCTAACATATTAAGCATGTTGCTAGCATGATGCTAACACAATTAGCATGTTGTTAACATGATGATAACACAATTAATTAGTGTGATTAGCATGTTGCTAAGATCATGTTCTAGTATGATTTACTCTGTTCTAGTATGATTTATGATGATATACCACATTGTAGTATGATTTGCCATGTTTCTAGTATGATTTACCACGATTTACCAAGTTCTAGCATGATTTACCATGATTTAGTCAAAAGAGCCAACCCCCATTTCTACACCATGTTCTGATGCAGAGATATGGGTCTTGCCAAACAGTTACTAGGGTACTCTGTTTAGTTGCTATGGAGTTGCTTGGGAGCTGCCAATGATGAAACTCGAAAGGCAGCTTGTCAGTATGAATGATATAAACCAACTCCCATGCATCTTTGTTTTTTGGTTGCAAAGGTGCTCGACAATGGTTGCTAGGGCATAGCTAGGAAGTGTTGAGGTGATTCATGATTGACTGTTTGCTTTTTGGCAACGTAAAGTCTGTGGGTTTTTTGGTCACTTTTTCACCCCTAGTACGAACACCGTACCCCTGATCGCTTAGAAACGTCATAATAGACTACACGTTTTTACATTCAAGGGTCTGTGACAAAAACTGCGGCAGGAGTAGCACTTCAAAAAAGTGGAATAAAAAAAAAATAATAATAAGTATAAGCAATAACAATAGCCCACTAACGTTAGGAAATATTTCATTCCGGAGTGAGAGGCGAGTAAAGACTTCAACACTGGGATCATTAAAAAGGCAAGAAGGTATTGCAAAACAGACTTCAGTTTATTCATCACATGAAGGCTGCCAGTGCTCTTTAACTGCCAATATTACTCTAATACCATTATATAAGTCCAATCTTTTTATTCAAAATCTCTCACCAAACAATGACAGTGCTCATAAAATTGAGTTCACAAATTTAAGATTTCTTCCTTGGAACACATCATACATAAATATTAGCATTTAAAAATACATACGCATTTAACCATCACAGGCCAAAAAGCCTAGCTGAATAAAACACCCGAAAAGACAAATCAGAATTGCAATGATTGACCTTACCCTTAAAAACAGAATTGATAGCATATTTTTCAAAACGCAACAGCTGGTCTATTAGCAGATAGCTCAGTCAAATCAACCTAAGCAAGGGGCCGATATTCACAATACAGCAAAAGCCATTTCACGATGCAGCTATGTTTCACAAGTCACACATGTATTCTCTGAGACACATTAAAAGCCATCACAGCAGTTTTCTATGGCCTGTTATAATTCTGTGCTGGTGTTCAAATCCTGATAATTGAGGTCTTCACACAGACAGGAAACGTAAAGTGGATAAAAAGGCCCTTCTGCTTGTTAAAATAGCATGCAAGAGTCCTATCACAGTCAACTGATTATAAAATACTATAACTGGCTCAATAAAGCACCTGGATTTAAGGTTTAATCAATTAGAGTGATTATATGCATGTCTTTTTTAATGTTGCTTTGTTGTTTAAGAAAGTCGTTGAAATAGGAAGAAAGAAACTAAAGAATATGGTGTCCAGCACCAAATACATCTTCCTCCTGATCTAAGCATTTTGATTAGTTAGGGCAAATTGTGAAGTCTGCGTAAACTTCCAATGTTTTATATGTTGTACTTGCGCGATTACAAATATATTCCACGGCTGCATAGTGTATCGTTGGAAGTCATTCCTAGCAAAAGCATGCATGCTACAATTACAGGACCTGTTGATGCATCCAATGCATTTCTTCCCGCACAATCTGAGCGAGCTTGATAAAAGATTGACCAGCAGTGACCTTTAATATCGATGCAGGTTCAGAAGTGACCCTGCTGCAGACTGTTACAGGTGTTTGTTTAGAACTGAAAGTGAAAAAGACTGCTACTGTATATCTTTGTGTGCTGATTGAGTAACCTTCTTTAGAGTTCAACCCCTTATGTACATTATTATACATACATGTGTAACTGTAGAGAGTGAGGGGACATGCTATTGTTCATCATGGCATGCTTGTCCCCTTGTTCAGAAGTGTACTTAAGGTCACTTGAGTGTGCACGTGAGAGAAAGGAGGAGAAGAGCTGGAAGTTGGGGAAGTACTGAGGACAAGGTTACTTGGAAGAAGTGGCAGGCACGTTGATGGGCATGGTGTGCCGTGCGTTGGTCACCTGACGTTGCTGAGCCAGGAAGGACTGGCCGGGCGGCAATAGAGTGTTGGATCGCCCACTAAGACGTGACTCGATTGCCATCTTCTGGAAGTTCAGACTCTGTATGTTTTGCACAACAACAATAACAAAACACTGAACACAAGGCAAATCATTTCTGATTTTTCAACAAAACAATAAAATGCTGTGGGTTTTAAAGCAATAACGGTGTTGTGTGAATGAGCAAAACGTCGAAAGCCGAGTACACACTGTCCGATATATAATAGTCCTTTACAATTGTTACTAGTCAGATCACAGTTTAATGCCACGTGACACTGTAAGATCTCAGATGTCAGTAATGACAATCTGTACGACAGTCAAGACTCTTTAAAAACGGATGCATTCAAGAAGACATCATTATTCTGACGGTGAGCTGCATTCACATGTGGGATTGAAATGGTGGCAGGAAAACAAAAACAATCTGTAGCGTTAATTTTGATCATGTCTTGAAAATAAAATTAAGACTGCTTATGGAGTGTGGAGCAAGTGGTGTTTTTTTTTTATTTGACGGTTGTTGCCACACTGCAGGACTGCCCCTCAAAAAAATTTCAGCTGGGGTCAAATTTGCACAGTGTGCACCCGGCTTAACAGACAGAAAGTGCTTCTTCTGTTTAGCTAAAAGTTTACAGAAAAGTTTACAGAATCTACAGCGGTCAATGAGATAGATATTTTAAGACATATTTCAGTTTTAAATTGGCACTTTCTGTGCCATTTGAGTTCTCTTTTGTATCTTATGGCACTTGAATGTTTTAATAGCACTTGAATGAATGATAGCGTGATCATATACTGTAGCATAGCCAAAGGACGACAGAAAAAAAAAAAAAAAAATCGATACAGAATTAATTCCGTTAAATATTTTTAACGGGTTAAATTAAAAAAAATAATAATCATCATCATCGCAATAACTTACAGCAATACCTTACAGCATTTAATTTACAGAAATATATAAATGTCTTACATTTATATATTTATGTTTAATATTTAATTAAAAATAAATATATAAATAAATAAATAAATAAATAAACTGATAATTGACACTGTACATTATAAACATACCTTATTATACCAAGCTGTCACAACTAACTTCTCCTCATATTCCCTCAGTTTGGCCTGTTCACACTCCCGCTGGGTAAATATTGGACAAGAACAGACATGAGTAAAGAAACAACAAACTGGAAAGAATGACAATGCGAATTGCAAACAACTGGAAATGAATAACAAAGCGTTTTGTAAGAAAAGAAGGCAGCTCTACCTCCAGAGCATTTATCCTCTTGTCTTTCTCAGAGAGCTGTGCTTTCAGTAACTGGATCTCAGCTGAGGCTGGGTTTAGCTTGGGATCCAGAGCTCGAATCACCTTAAAAAAAAAACAACGCACAATATGATGTATTTAACCATTGGAAAACCAAAAAAGCTTAAAATAATGCAAGAAAACATACTATATTTTCTGATTAAAATAGTAGTTAGTTCATATGCAAAAAAAAATGACAATGACAAATACATTTTGATTGGTTCCTCCTAATTGTACATAATTCAATAACTTGAAAATATTGAGGACTTCAAAATGCAAGAGCACAAGTCATTCAGTAGCAAAAGCTGAAGTTAATGTAACTACATCACGCGCTTTCTCCAGGTACATCTTGTATCGATCCTCCATCGCCCTCATGTCCTCATCTTTCTTCTTCAGCGCAGCTACCAGCTCGTCCATTTTCACACCTGAAAGTGACATTTATCTCTACTATAACTTGGAGGTATTTTAAAGATTTTCTGTCTGACTCAAAGAGGATCATAACGTCACTCTGAACATCAAAGTTTATGGTTTAAGTGAGTGAGTGTGATTCATTCTTGTCTATGAAGTCATTTGGTGTAAAATGTCTGGCCAGATCAAAATTTGGAAGCTAACTGGTTTGAGTAGCATCTGGCTGAAGGTCCTCCAAGAGCTCTTTCTTCTTCATGATCTCATCTTGCGCCTCATTCAGTTGCACCCTGGTAAAAAAAACAAAACAAAAAAAAACATTAGGACCATCAGCTTCAGACGGTGCAAAAGATGCTCAAATCAAACAAAAAATCTGAGCAAATGTCTAAACTTACATATGAGCATCCAGCTTCCTCCTCAGGTGAGACTGCATAATAAAGAAGCAAGCAATGTGACTAAGTCACTAGCACTGTAAATGTAAAAGCATTCTGTACATAAAACAAATGAAAGACCAGGTTTCCAAATGTCTTGAAAAACCAATTGTCTTCACGATCAACTTAGCTCTCTATGCTTTTGAGAAACACAGCCCATATCATTTAGCAAAGTGCAAAGTTTATGTAGCACTGACCAAAAAAGTGCCTAAACAGTACCATCAAGAGGCCTAAACACACACTTACATCGTCAGGTTTGGCTCCCTGTGTCTGCAAGGCCTTCTGCAGATCCTCTACCTGCTGCTGCAGCTCGCTGATTCTTTCACTGTTTAACCTTAATAAAAATTAAACAAAACACAAGGCTTTTACAGACTGACTGAAACTGACTAAATGAAAACATACCCATTAAATCAACAGTGTCAAATCTATAAAATCAATTAAGCTTGCTATTTAAAACTAAGGCACAGTGGCACTCGTTAAAAATGCATTCTCAATGTAGAGTATAGTTTCCATTTGATGCATTATGTCAATCTGTACCTTTTCTCAGTGTCCAGTTGGCTCCGTCCACGCCGGGCCTCCTCCAGCTGCTCCTCCAGTTCAGTTATGCGCCCGTTCTCAGACTCCTCCTTCTGCAGCCGCAACATCTTGTTCTCATGCTGCAGACGGATGAACTTCTCCCTGGAGAAGCAGATGCAGTACACACATTAACATATAAATATTTTTTAGGTGTCCCAAATTTTTAATGCATAAAAGATGTATGTGAATCACAAAGACATTACTAAGACGTGTGCAATAATAGTCTTCCTAATGGTCTTGTTTCCAGTGTGATGTTATTAACAGTAGTAATAACAGCCATTTAAAATTCTTGATTTGATTCTTGCACAAAATTAAGTTAAAATAAACCAAAATCGCTGCTTTGAAACAATATCTTTTGTGAAAAGCTCAATACAAATACATGTGAATTGAATTACGTATATTCTTTTGACCTTTCTAGTCATTAAAAAAATCCTTAAAAAAACAATGCACAATGGCTTCCACAAAAACAGCAGAAATGTTTCAAGAGGAAATGTTTCTTAAAAACACCCCATATTAGATTGATTTCTGAAGGATCATGTGACACTGAAGACTGGAGTTATGATGCTGAAAATTCAGCTTTGACATCACATGAAAAAAAAAAAAATTAAAATGTTTTACCTCATCCATGCATCATACCTGTACTCAATGGGCAACATCTCAGCTGCTAGGTTATCATGGCTTGGACTTCCTGTTTGATACTTTGCTGTGAAGTAAGAACAAATTCAAATTTCACACCATCTGCAAACCTAAATTTTCAGTTTGTGTTACTGAGCTGTGAAGTGACCCAGACAGATCACTAAAATAGCTGGGTTCAAGGCTGCACTCCAGGTGTGGTATCAGCAGTCATACTGTACCTGCTAGTAATAGCTGGTCCTGTTGGGCCTGTGTGCATCGCAGTTCTTCATTGGTCTCTCTGAGAGTGTCCCGCTCAATGCTGATCCTCTGACGAAACACAGATATCACAGAGTTTTTTATGTCTGGTGCCACTAGTGGCATAGAAATGACACACGTTAGCATTCAATCATCTAATGTACAGTGTTAATTGTTAATGTACAGTGTTATTGAGTATTTACATGTGAAAGTGTCTGTCTACCTCTTTCTCTTTCAGTAGAGCATCATATTTCTCCTGAAATTTCTTCATCTCAAAGGCCAGGTTATCAGCCCTACGGGACTCATCAGACAGTTTCTTGTGGAGCTCCTGACCCTAAAGTTACAGAAACAATATAATGTTGATATATTACTTTCAGGTCTGAAGTTGTGTCACATGATCCTTCAGAAATCATTCTAATATGCTGATTTGCTGCTCAAGAAACATTTCTTACTATCATTCTTACTATGTTGAAAACTGTTGTACTGCAGGTCAGTTTAATACATCCTTGCGGATTTTTAATTTATAAAAAAATAAATAAAATAACCTTCTGAACAGTGTATATCCTGACAACTATTTAATGGCTGAGTAAAAAAACAAAACACGCAAAAAACACTAAAATAAAACTGGTAACACATTTAAACAGTACCTGTCTTTTGTAAGTCTCTAACTGAGCTCTAGCAGCATTGGCCTTGCGCAGTTCCTCTTCAAGGCTGACCGTGTTGTGCATGTAGGTCATATTCTTCTCCTCCAGAACTTTCACTTGCCGTCTGAGGTCACTTAGATCTTCCAACTTCTTCCTATACGTCTCAACAGAGGCCTCTAGCTTCACTGCCCGGTCCGAGCAGCTCCTAAACAAACACAAATTAATCATAAAGACTTCCCAAAACAGCCAAACAGAATAGTAGCAAAGACTACATATGGAAAACACATATGACCCAGCACATACCTTAATATGTCTAATTCATCTTTAAGCGATCTTGACTCCTCAGCCAAGCTGGTTAGTTCATCATTACGATGCTGAAGCTCCACTAGTTGTTTCTCCAGTTCTTCACAGTGGATGCGGTAATCATCTTTAGCTGCCTCCAGTCTGGATATTACACACATTTATCATTCACACTGCAAGCTATTTCAAAGAGAGTCATTCTACCCACGCTTGGTTCATTATTGTTTGTTTGTCTACTTCTGCAACAACGACTATTCAGAACAACAGCAGGTTAATATCAAGTACGTTTTTCAGACAGTATTTGGCCGGTTAGTTTGGATTTGCGAGAGTGTGAGATGTGTAGGTAGATGAGGCTGTACCTGAAGGTCTCCTCCTGAAGCTGCTCAAACTGTATTTGTAGCTGGCTGTGCTTCCTCCCCGATGGAGTGCTGGGGTCATCAAAAGTATCAAGCTGATTGGCTCGATCAGTCAGTAGGTCATTTTCAGCCAGGAGACTGTTCCTTTCCTCCTGCAGCATTGTCACCTGATCAAAGGGCAAAAAGGTCAAATAGCAGGGCTTGTAAACCTGATGTTTATTATGTCAAGGCATGAATGACCTACATACATGGCATATTAGAATGTAGGATTGCATTTAGGGTTGTACATTATGATGTACACTACTGTTCAAAAGTTTGGGGTCGGTAAGAACTTTTAATGTTTTTGAAAGAAAGACATGTCTTATGCTCATCAAGGCTGCATTTATAAAACCAATACATATTATATAGTACAAACAGCAATAACTTTAATTTAAATATTATAAAAAATATATATTATTTAAACATTAGATAAACCGTTATCTAATTCCGTGATGGCTTTTTCAGCATGGGACAATCTGATCACAGTGATAGTAAATAACAATCAACAATCATTACGCCAGTCGTCGATGTCACATGATCCTTCAGAAATCATTCTAATTTGCTGATTTGGACAACATTCCTTTTGCTATTATCATTTTTTTTGTAGAAAACATTATTCATTTTTACATTATAAATGTATTTACTACTTTTTATCAATTTAATAAAACACGTTCAAATAGCAGTGTATATATACACCATGAAGTAATGATTTTTATTAATACATTCTTCCTTTTACATAAACTCCAAATTGATGCAATTTCAAAATAATTAATTCAGCAAATAAAACAAATCCACTGTTAATGTTAAGCATGTTAAATGGCTTTTATTCTTGTTGTTTTAGAGTTCCACAAATATAAAAACCACAGCAAAACCCAATTATTTTAGTACTGAACCCATGAGCTCTTTTTGACAGACAGACAGACAGACAGATAGACTGACAGACACAGACACACACGCACACACACGCACGTTTGCCAGTGGTTAGATTGGTTAGTTTTAGTTAGGCTAGGTTGCCATGCATTTGTTTAGACTTACCTCTCATTGGTCATGGATACTTTTAACTCAATCTGTCAAGAATCAGCAACACATGAATTTCTAACCCATTTATGGGCGCAGGAAAGTTAACATGGCAGTACAAATCCTGCAACAATATGTTCCTTTATATATATTTACCACAAATTCCAAAAAGGAAATGCATTCCAAAACATTTAATGAAAATTCTGTACATTGTAGATTTTTTCACCTCTTTGTAAAAGCTAAAAACACATCAGCCTCTGCACAGACAAACCAAAAATACTTGCACTCAAATGCTAAATCAGTTCATCCATGAAAGTGAACAAACAGAACAGCAGCAATGCTGTTCACTGAGCTAACACATACAGTCTGCAAGCACATTGCAGTATTCTGTTATGCAATATGCATTGTATAAAGCACTATGGAAATAAATGTGACTTGACTTAACATCCCTAATATTATTGTTTCTTGATAGATGCAAATGCTTTGACATTAGTTTTAGTGAAACTGGTATCTCACCTGCATGTCGAGCTCCTGACATCGCTGTGCCAACTCTTCTTTCTCTGCTATGACCTCAGTCAGATCCTCCAAGGCTTTCTTTAGCTACCAAAAAACATCATTGAACAATATAACAAGATACTATATTTAATAACAACATTAACACAGTTCTTGGATGGTATGATGTTGTTATATTGTTTGTATTTGTTACCTGGTGTTCAACATCTCCAAGAGGTTCTGTTCCTAACTGAGACATATTCTCCTTGCTCATTAGCTGTAATAATAATAATAATTTTAAAAAAAAAACATCAGAATTGCTTTAATTCTTTATTAAGGTGAATTTATGGCCACATAAAAATATCTGAATAAAATGAATGGCCTCTCACCTCTTGAATGGCAGTCATCACCACATGCTGTACAGATTCCTCCAAGGTCATAATTATCTGGATATATTCTGGACAAACAACAACAATTTTTAACAATTAAAAATTAAGAAATACAGAAAGATCACAAGAAAAATAGCAGCATATGGACATACAAATACAATACAAATTTGAAACAGCATGAGGGTAAATGACGAGTAAATAAAGACAACATTTTAAAATCACCATGAAATCAAACAGTTTTTGTTTTTTAAGGAATATTGCAGTATTTATAACAAATGAATCATATGTGCACAAGTTACACTATTTAGATTTTTTTTTAAATTTATATGCCCTCCCAATCTTTAATCAAAATAACTTTCCTTCCCTCTTGCAACTACATCTCTTCTTTTTCGTCATGGGCGGGACAATCTGATCACAGCAATAATAAACAACAACAATCAATTACCGAAGGACAAAATTAAAACCCACCCTAGGGTCAGGGTCTGTCCTAATGAACTTCCCTCGTCCACTTTACGAACACACTTCAAAATGGCGATGGGGAATCCCCTCAGGGGTAGTTTTTGATTGTATGTCAAAAAGTGGAGTTAACCAGCCCTGAAGGTTTTCAGTGAACTATCCCTTTTACTACCTTGTTTCCTGTCACATTTGACTGCACACCCTAGGATGAGCTGTAGGAGGCGTCCCAGCTCCACTTGATCAGACTGCTCTATCACACGCACCAGGTCAGGCAGAGGGAAATCTGTGATCTGCTGACCTAAAACCTGAACACAAAGGGATCATAACACATAGAGAATTACACATACAAGCATGGATTCTTCATTAGAATGAATCTGATTGTATGGTCATTGTGCTTTTGCTAAAATTGAAAAAAAAAAAAAAAAAAAAAAAAAAACTGCAGCATTAAAATATCTGTAGCTCATGCAGAATGTGCTACAATTAAACCACCCAATAATTACACACATTCATGTGACTGTCAGCATGTGTAAATTGTTGGTTAACAAGATTAAAGGTGAATTCCTTGTTGTCCTTTTAAAGTCTGACTAATGCCATGTTACAGCAGAAACAAGTATTTTAATGAACCAAACCTCTGTGTAATTTACCTCATTATAATAATCAACAATCATCTGCAGGACCTTTTTGAGGTTGTTCAGCTGTAAAAAAGAGTGAAGAGTGAAACAAAGACTTTAGCTTTAACACATTATACTTGACATTTTCTTAAAATTAGATTAAAGCACCAAGGTCTGAAAGGAAAATGAATGTACCTTGAGTCTTACATTATCTCCAACATCCTCTTTAATGCGAGACAGCCAGCTCTCACTGAACCATGAAGGATCTCTGGAATTGAAACAATATTGATCAGTGCAGTTCTTTTCTAATTCAGACACTTTCAGATGCTTTCATTCAGATCAGTCGGTAAAATCAAATCAAATATGTTTTGTTCCCATCCTATCTTGCTTTAATGCAATCAGAGTTAAATCACACTCTCAGACTCTCTAAGAACAATATGTTAAATGTCACTATAGTCTACTTGAATCAATGTTTATTCAACAAAATATATATACCCCAGCCCAGGTAATATGACTCTGAGGACACCCAACTACCCAATACAAGTCATAAAATATTCAAACACTGACAAGCTGCGATATAAATCAGTAATGCTGACCTGGAAATATTTAATTTGATTTAGTAGAGCAAAAAGGGGTATGGAAAGTGGGAGGCAACTGAAAAGTGTAACACACAGTCAAGTATGAATTAAATGAATGAAGGAAACACTGCAGCTCAACTGGTAGTACATAGCACTAGCAACGTCAAAGTTGCTACACACCAATCAAATAGACAGAGTGGAAGCATTTTAAGTTGCTTTGGACAAAAGCATCCGTCAATGAATAAATGTCAAGTAAATGTAAACATACTCACATCTGATGCAGAGCCTGAGACATGGCTGACCCCGAGGTCAGATCGTCCACGGTCTTACAGGGGGCTGCAGTTTTGAAGGTCTGCAGCTGAGACCACACATACAAAGGAAAGAAACATGGGTATAGATTACTAGAATAAACAATGATAAATGCTACAGTGAGTATGTATTACTAGTACATAGGTTTCCAAACTTTTTTGTCAACTGAACCCGCTATTTACTTGATGAACCCGCTGGGAATTTATGTTAAAATTTCAATAATTTAAAAACACATTGATAATATGTGTAAGGGTTTGTTTCTTAACATTAGTTAACTATGTTAGTTAACATGAACTAACAATAAACAATACAACAGCATTTATTAACATTAATGTTAAATTCTATATTTCTAATACATTATTAAAATCAAAATCTGTTCATATTTACTATGCACTGTGAACTAACATGAACAAACAATGAACAATCAAATTTTTAATAACTAACATTAAAGGTTAATAAACACCGCAAAATTCCCACTGAAAGAATACAATGGTGTAAACATTAACAAAATGCTCCATCATGTTGTTAATGTTTATATTTGGGTCAGTGACAAAACATGCTTATTTGTGTCCAAGTCATACAATAATTTTATGAATTCATGACATAGAGTATATCACTTTATTCAATGAAACCTATTTAGTTTGAATTTGTTTTTAGTATATTTAAATAATACCTTTTAATTTAGTTTTGTTATATTAAACATTTCAGGTGGTGCAACTGTCCGAACAAATTAACAGACTAAGATTTTTTTTTTTAAAGTGGTGTCTTAATAAAAAAATAAATAAAAATGAAATACTATGGCAATATTTTATGTTTGAAGCCTTTCATATAAAAAAAATATTGATAAATCAGTAGTTTTAAAGCTGTTTTGTCCAGTAAAAAGATAATAAACAAATTAATGTGTCATGCTAATTTCAAGTATGGGTAGGTTGGCACAATTTCCATGTCAGGTGGTACAACTATAGGCCTATATACAAACTATTTGGTTGTATCGCAAAGTAAAATAAATAAAAAAATAAACACAAAATGTGCTGTTCTGACTAAAGCAATAGAGATCACTATATAAATGTCATTATGAGGTACTAGCAAACAAATATTGCATTTAAATGTGCCATACATTCAGGTAAGCATTATAAGCACATGCATATGACATTCATTGCAGCAGAATGAATGAAAATACATTGACACCACAGGCTTAGACATTAGAATCCAGGAAAGATAGTGGTCCTTCGAACCTTACAAGTCTTTTTGAGAACTATTCAGAAGAGCCCTGGTGCAGACGCAATATAAACATACTGTATGGTCATGGATCAGAGCCAAATATAGAGAATCGCAAGCACGCGCCGTACGCGATCACAAGCCGCAGTCAACAGTCAAAGCGACATCATATTAAAATGAGACTAGGGATATCTCATTGCATAAGAGACATTCCACAAATACTCTAGCTAGACAGATTAGACACTTAAATAGGACGAGGAAGGAGTTGGCTGTGGTGTGACTGTGCTGTGTTGTTTACATGTTTAACCGCATTCTGAGTCTAGTTTGTCTATTTTATATAGGCTATTGTCGCGTGCTGGACGGGTGGCGCGTGGAGAAATGGGCGCAGATTTGTAAATGTTGTAATGATGCACCACAGACCACATTTGGTTTACATGAAGTACATGGAAATATCTTATTTCCGGTCGTTTTGGACCTTAGAGCAAGAAAGAAAGGACTACCTGCGACAGGAAACTTAACGTCATGGCTCTGACCGCAGACACATACACAAGTCCTGGTTCTGGTGATCATTAAGCTAAACTAAAAGACACGATCTTACCCAAACAATCAGGCTCTCACACAGCGTTTTATTTAAATCCATCTCTCGTCTGTGCTTTCGGGCAAATATTTCCGTCCACCTGTCAACAATGCGCTTCCCTTTCCCACCTGCGAGTGTATTTTCCTAGCGCTCAGCAGCCTTACGTTCACGTCAATTGCGTCTACGCACAAATGGATACGTAAAAGCTTCCTGAATGCACTCCGCTGATACAGCGCGTGATGCGTTGATAAGGATTGGGGATTGATGGGATCAAGAGCGCAACAGCAAGAAATAAAACACCAATGGCGTGTTGAGTTCAGGACACCGTGCAGCCAATCTAAATAGAGATCTGAGAAGATTGGCAGAGCAGTGAACATGGCTTGTTTGGTGTTTCCACACTCTAAAGAATATGGACACTATGAAAAAAAAAAATTGTATAGGTAATTAAAGTCAAATTGAGTTGAAATAAGGAAGAATGCTAAAGTTTACTGATTTACACAGATTTGTGTTTTCTGTTGCTAAACATTAATATCTCTCTAAGCTTTTATTACTTTTTTGCAATAAAAACATAAGATAAGATGGTGATGTGAAGTCACATGCATTGACCTTGTATGGTATGAGCATATGCGGGAATACAAAGTTTATATATAAAATAAGAGAAACATTAGTGTTGCAAATCCATAGATAGCCTGCATTGCATTCTATTACGTTTTTCATGACGCTTTTCCTTTATTCCATTTACAATTTCACCTCAAAGTCACATAATTTAATTACGGCTGTCAAATGATTAATCGTGATTATTCCCATCCAAAATAAAAGTTTTTGTTTACATAATACAAGTGGGTGCATTGTGTATAATTCTTTTACACACACACACACACACACACACACACACACACACACACGCACACGCACACATATATATTCAAGAAATATTTTCATGTACATAGGTAATATAGATTTATAGATAATTTATATTATATATACATATAAATATTTTCTATATAAATATTTTTTTTTAAAATATGCATTAATGTGTGTGTGTGTGTGTATGTGTGTGTGTGTTTATATATATACAAAATAATTATACACAGTGCACCCACATATATTATGTAAACACAAACTTTTATTTTGGATGTGACTAATCGTGATTAATCATTTGACAGCCCTAAATTTAATAACATTACAGCATATTTGAGTTCAAGAAATAAGCCAAAAATACATTTTCTGTTGGAACTGCTCACCAGGATATGGGACGGCCTGGTGGAAGCAATCCTTGACTGACGTGACACTGGACTTTAAACCATGACAGCCTGCAGATTCTCATTTGGGCCAGGGGCCTTTAACCTGTCCCTGCTATTTCAGCCACTGTGACCTTGCAGTTTAGGCAAAAATAGGAAAGATAAATATTAGCTTGAGACATTTTTAGAAAGAAGGTCCAGGGCAAATGCACTGATAAATGAAGCCAATGTGAGTAACTAGTCAACAAAGAATTTTGAGATATTTATTTAATAAAACACACACGTACTATGCTCCAGCTACACTGTAAACGGGTACATAGATTGTATACAATCTATGTACCCGTGTAGGGTTAATAATGTATTTAATATAATGAGCCTGGGGTATAGTATTAAAGTAGGTTTAGCTTTATTTTAACCTGCTGATTGCCCCAGTTACATCCAATCCCAGTTAAATGCCTTTATTTGGTATGGGACAGTGTATATATTGTGTAAACTTGCAGTAAACCATTGACAGGTTAACTGGACGACTAACCTTCTTAAAGTAGGAGGAGATTTACAACCTGTCTTTGAACCTGTGATAGTGGTCACATGACAAAAATAAAACACTTGAGACCGAGGAATGGCCATGGCTTTGATCAACACAAATATTGCCAATCAGTACACTTTCACATTGATGATGAACATATTACAGATATCAGTAAGATTGCAAGCAACTTTACTAAATTTCGAAAATCAACCAGGAAATCAGTGTAGTTACCTAATCTCCAAAAAAGGGACTGAAGTGGGACTGAAAGCCCTGGCTAATGATTAAACCGTCTGTCAAATGTACTGTGTACAGTGAAGCAGTTGAAAGCATTCCAGTCTCTGCCTTCCACGAGAGAAAGCAACTGAATTACGAACAAGAAACATGCCCACCAGCCGCGGCTTCCACAACAGGTGAGAGAGTATTTTGTGTTTTTATTATATTTCATGCACATTTCTATGCCGAAATGATGATATCTGTCTATCTTGCATAAATGAACAAAGCAAAACATGGTTACACTTTATTTTAAGGTGTCCTTGTAACAGTGTAGGCTACATGTACATGTACCATGCTACTATTGGGTTAGTAACATGTAGTACATGTAACATGTAAAAAGGACACTGTAAAATAAAGTGTTACCCAAATTAATGTAACTTTGTTTGAGGTTATATTTAAACAGTTTAATCATATCCAGCATCTCTTTAAAAAAGAAAGAGAAATGTATAATTTAGACACAGAAATAAATGAATTTTGAAGACGTGTATTATATGATGAAGTGTTGTATCCTGAGACTGCAGGTTAATTGTGTTGGGGCAATAAAAGGCTCCGCACACGCACATTAAACATGATATCAGATTTCAACATGTCACTTTTTTCAGTTATATTTTGAACTCACATTGCCATATGTATCATAATATAATATGTTCAAATAAAGTTCTTTTCATCAAAAGCAAATTTTAGTTCAGTAGCGGTATATTTTAAATCCTGATGTATTGTAAGGCTGCCTGATATTGCGTCATCAAGTATGAGTAAAACACAGGTGTGTCAGACAGCTAAATTTAGATTTTGTACGTGCTCATCTAGACATAGTCAGACTATATCTAATCGTGCAATACATTTTGTAACAAAAAGCAGGTTTTTATCTTGAGATGAATATATGTTTTTATTCTAATGAAAACAGTCCACCCAGAATTTCAAAAGAAAATCAGTAGTAATGAATTATCATTCAACTCCATGATGATTTTAAACACCAGCCCTGCATTGTGATTTAAAGTCTTGAAGGAAAGGGTGAACATAAACTCCACAGTATTGCATTTCAATAACTGCATCTCTCACTTTTGAAGGTCCTCTCTACACTCAAAGATAAGATGTCAAGGTCAGCCACACAATCTTCACGTGAACAAAAGAGAGGTGAATACATATTAGTAAACAGTCTTCCTATTTTAAGTATTTTTCTAATTAAATATTAGTCATTCCATCATTTCCAATTAGAAAAATTAATAATTTCCAATTAGAAATAGCCTACATTTCAGTGTATTTCAATAGAATCCTAAAAAATTAAACAATCCTAGAAATAAATGACAATCCAGTTTTTTCTTAAGTATATAATCTCTTCATTTAATATTTGCAGGATTTGCCAAAAATTTGGTTACCAGCTGGCAACAGGGATGTCCACTGTCCCGTGTGTTTACAGAGCGCCAGTTATCCTGTAGAGACAAACTGTGGACATCTTTTCTGTGGTGCGTGTCAACCGACTGCAAAATACATCTTGCAAAAATACAAAAACAAAACAAAAACAATTACTAGGATGTCAGATCATTACATGTGTTAATGTTGATCATTACATTCTGGTTCACTTAGTTGCATAAACATATCCATTATGTTAGCAGTTAGTTAGTCAAGTCAGTCTTGCAATTGCTAAATTAGACCAATGTTGATCATTACATTCTGGTTCACTTAAGGTTGACGCTAGTAACTGGGGCCATGTTGCATTTAAACATATCCTTTATGTTAGCAGTTAGTTAGTCAAGTCAGTCTTGCTATTGCTAAATTAGACCAATCTACGGTTTTATGTAAATCTACTCCAAAAAAGAAGAAAATTGGATGGTTAACTTGTAAGATTAGTTTTAGCAGTCTATGCAACCGGCTTCTGGTCTGCTGCGCGAGAGCAGATGATGCATTTACTACCCGGTCATGTGACTCTCGACCATTACGAAAGCAGTGCCTCACACCTGACACAGATCACGTGAATACACTCAGACAATTTTTAGATTTACGTTAATAGCAAACTACAAGGTTAGTTCAAAATTAAAAACGTTGTATCATCACATTGTAATTCTCGCCACTTTAAATAAGCTCAATAAAGAGACTGAAATAAAGAGCAGCAAAGATACAAGCAATAAAATTAGTCATAAAAAAGTAGTGAACCTGAACAATTAATTTATATTAAATAATAACTTTTAGAAAAAAGAAAAAAAATTCCATCTACTTGGAAATGCTAGATTTACATGAATCAAAACAAGGGATTGAATATAGCTTGGCAATAAACCATATTTTTGTATGATTTTAACATGATGTGAATAATGGAATCCGAATTACATTTCTGAATCATCAAAGTCAATGTATTGCTATGGAAAATAAAATCTAAGGCATCAAAAAAAAAAATATCCTAAACTATTGCAAATAAATACATTTCTATTTGCCAAAAAGACAATTTAATTGAGTTGTCCCAACTCAGTTTGGGCCAATGTAATTGAGTTGGCACATAATAAAAAAGAGAGGCCAATGCTTATGTGTCTTCTGTTTCTTTCCCTCTCTAGGACCATGTCTGATATCTTACTGGAAACATTGCTCCTTGTTAGATGCCATCAACTGTCCTTTGTGCAGACAGACGGTAAGAGATGAAGTCTCTATAAGAGATTCTTAGCTGATGCAGTCTCAAAAAAAAAAAAAAGAGATAGATTAACCTTTCATCATATTTGGTTATCTTTTTCTCTGATTTATTTGTTATCTTTATTCTTTATACTCAGGTGAATAAGATGTGCCGTCTCTTCAGCGAGAACAGAGCTGACTGTAAAGAGAGAGAAGTGCTGAGACATGTCAGAGACTATAACAAGCGCCACTCTGGAGCACCAAGACAGGTAAATACTTAGTGAGAGCATGTTCTGTTTCACTCTACAAAGGCATTCACATAAATGTCATATAAGCACTACAATGCAATTGTAGTAGCTCGGCACGGCCTACAGTCAGCATCTGCGTTGTGTGTACTGCGCATGCTGTAAAAGACAGGTGACAGTTGACCAAACATAATTATATAACCTTTCTTTTTTGTTGACAAGCTCGTGCCGCTCCCGGTAAATCAATGCAGTTAGCATTATTACTTCTCAGCAGAGTTTATCATTTTATTTGCTATGGACTATATCACATCACCACACCTTTTTGGGTTCC